AAGTTCTCGAGGTCCTTTCTATATCAAAGGCAACCAGTCAAAACTGGACAAAATTTAGCCACAATATTTTAAAATGCATTTGACCAATATTTAACGCCATGTGTTTTTACCATCTCTGGTTAGCTCCCTTACTTTGTGGACACTTGTTTACAAAGACTCCATAGATATAGCGGATGAATTTAAAATTCTAAAATAATTATAACAGAGCGCGTTCACGCGTCTTTACAAACATCACCATCACAACGATCACAATTACAATAAGTGTGTCTTCGCAATTCACTCCTAAGGATGATCTCGGAGAAGATCGAAAGTACTAGGGTTAGCAAAAACTACGGTACCTTCCTTGATGAATTTAATCAAGAATCTAATTAGAGAACCAGAAAAGATTATTATAAAAATAAATAGACATATGTCTATATTATTCAATGAAACATGAATGAATGAAGAAATGCTGCATATATATATATATATATATATATATATATATATATATATATATATATATATATATATATATATATATATTTCTTCATTCATTCATGGAATATTAGTGTTTCTTCATTCACCATGGAATATTAGTGTTTAAGCCTTTTTATTATATCCTTACTCTGTCCTAGACATTGAGTTCTACCTGGATTCTTCCTCTTGGAAATTTTTTTCTGAAAATATACATGTATGGGTATTTATATATATATTTTGCATATGTATGTATATTTACCACTAATATTATCTATCTATCTATCTATCTATCTATCTATCTATATATATATATATATATAATAGTAATACTCGGTTGGAAAAAAAGCTCGGATATTCACAACTTGCAGATATGTCGAAACAAATGGATACCCGAGAAAAAAAATTGGAAAAAAAAGAAAGAACTAAAACATTTAAACAGGGCGAAACAAATCGTCTAGTACAAATAAATAAAAAAAAACAAACCTTGCGAATAGTAAAGCTAAAACGTAGAGTGCTCAATACGCTAAGTAAAGCGGGAATAAATAAAATAAATCCTAAAGACTGGAAGGAATAATTCCGAGGAGGATATAAATCCAAGGAGAGCTCAATGTAGACTACAGAGCATTATAATGATAAGATGACGGAGACTTTATCCATTTCGTTTATAATTTTTATTTCGTGAACACTGAGATGTTCAACTCATCAGAACAAAATCTTCTCCTCAAATTTAGTATGCGATGGGTAAATTGTCGCTATTTTATATTTTGCGCATGATTGTTTTTTTATTTTTTTATTTTATAGACTGCACAATATGATATGGTCAGTCGGGTACCGTCTGCGAGAAAAAGAGCACCATGACGCAATTCATTCTGTCAGAAATTTGGAAACGGCATACTCTTCTGATTGCCATTGGCGCCGGAAGCACCAATACGAATATTTCAGAGTGTTTGGGTGACAGTGCAGAGGATTCGGAAAGAGTTTGATGAGTATAATGGTGATTTCGAAGGTGCAGCATCTCTGATCGTTCTGTTAAGAAAAAATTCCCGAATTTGTTGGTGAGAGTCTCAGACTCAACACGGTGGACTATATCAAGCGCTTTGATAAAATATTTCCGCCTTCGGTCCGGGGGGGGGGTCGCTGAAAGACTCCATGACTGGAAGCTGGAATCTGCATTATGTCACACACGCAGGAGAATCTAGTCACGGCAGTCAGACATTTTTTGCACCCAGATCACCCCTTACATCTGGCCACCTAACTCCCCAGACTTCAACTTCCCTAATTAATATGTGTAGGGCAAGAAATCAACAAAACCCCTTGTAACTTGAACTGAAGGCAAGGAATATGGCAGCATTCCCCAACTTAAACAAGGAGTCCGTCCAGAAGAGTTTGGAGATTTCGAAGTTGTCTGGAGGCCTTGGTTGAAGCCAATGGCGATTTTATTGAATAAATTTACTCTTTAGTATTTAAAGATATTTTTTGTGCAATTTTGATAAATATATATGTTAAAATGAGATGTCAGTGTTATTTTAATTTTTGTGTAATTTAGACGACAATTTACCCATCGCACTGTATAATATTTATCATTGGGCACTCCGATGATTAGCAACCTTATTTCGCTAGATCAATAACGGCTGAACCGTGAGTTAGATCCTCACTGGGTGCCCCATACTTTTTGCCTTGTACCACACCGAAGCTACGCTTAGAAAATCATTTGTACGCGCTTCTGTAATACATATAAGGAAATTTGGATAAAAGAGAGAAGATTAGCATGACCCCTGCGCAGAGATGACACGTAAATTCGTGAAGCGTCCTATATTTGTGGGGCAATTAGACGTGGAGTAATGGTTAGCATGCTTGTTTCGTTAGGTCAATGACGACTGAGTAGGGAGCTTGATCCACACTGGGTACATCATACAGTTTTCTCTATCTCAGTCTGTTCATAATTTTTACTTTATTTTATTCAAAATTTCTGTATTTAGACAGCAAATTCTCTTTTAGGCATATCTGATTGAATAAATTATAGACATTATGTCAACTAATTTTTAATAAAATCCGTTCATACTCACGAATAACGTTCCGTGTATTGATATTAAAGGATGAGAGAAATATACTATAGCTGTTTAAATTTTTTTTATTTTCATCTCCCAAGTACTTTCGATCTTCCAGGATCATCTTCAGGGGTGCAAGTAGCAACGCACTGCTTTGTATAAATACTTGTACCCCTGAACAACATATAGATTTGTACCACTTGCACCCCTGAAGATGATCCTGGAAGAAGATCGAAAGTACTTGGGAATTGAAAATAAAATAAATTTAAACAGTTATAGCACATTAATCTCATCCTTTAATATCAATACACGGAAGGTTATACGTATGAACGGATTTTTAAAAAAAAAATTAGTAGACATAATGTGTGTAATTTATTTAATCAGACATGCCTAATATATATATATATATATATATATATATGTTATTTATTTGTAAATGTATGTATTTATGTATGAATATATATATGTATATCGATACATGCGTGTGTGCATATGTGTGTAATTGCACATGTAAATGAACGTATATATATGTAGGATTTGCATAAGTGTATATGTGGTATATATATGAAAAAAAAAAAAAAATCTTTAATATTACCTTCAAATATTACTCCATCTTAATTCGAAACCTAAACTTTAAGTAAGAAAGATTACCCATCTAAAAATAATTACAAATTAGATTCAAACTGATAAAGATGTTACCTTAACTCAAACTGTCTTTTACAATATTAAAAGAGTACTATAGGTCGGGTAAACAAACTGTTATAGTTTAAAAATTGTTTTAATGTGTTCTCTATGAATGTGTTAATAAATACACTATTTATATTAAATCTCTAAATTATTTGTAAAATAGTTAAATATTTAAATTGCTAGCAAGCATCAAATTAATTTTTTCGTGGATTTTTTTAGACATCTAAATTACTATCAAACATTAAAATCTATTTTTTACATAAATTGCTAAAACTTACCACTCCTCTTCTTCATATATAAAAACCTCTTTAAAACATATATAAAACAGCCTCTTTTTCTTGACTTTCCCTTTCTTTCTTTTTCCTTTTTCTTTTTTCTCTTCTCCCCTCCCATTTCAATATATCACTTCCGTTAACCGTCTAAATAGGTCAAGGTCTGGTCACTCCTCCTCCTCCAATACTAAGTATGATTGAGAGAAATATTAAATTAAACCCTCCCTAAACTCTACCATGTTTCTCTAACCACTCCTTATTACCCTCTCTGTTAAATTACAAAAACTTACACTACCCATCAATTTTCATTTCATTTTTCGTTTCATTTTTTTGAAGTGCTATCTGATGATCCGGCGTCCTTTAAAAGGGCTCTGGTGAAATAAATTATTATAATGGAACCTTAAAGTGGTCTGATTTTCTTTAATACACACACACACACACACACACACACACACACACACACACACACACACACACACACACACACACACACACACACATATATATATATAATCTGAGCCTAGTTCAGGAATGACATCATTTATGCTACAAAGGAACAGTAGTAACGGTCTTAGGCGATTAAATTGTTATTCACTTTACCTGCAAATAAAAAACACTTACGTTGTCCTTCGCCCAGTCCGAACACAGACGCCATTATATTCTTCAGTGCAGACTTGAACTTCGACTGTTTTGAATTTTGGTTGGAGACATTCCATTGTTTTCCGAGTTTGTCTGCAAAAAGAATCAACACAATATGTAGCTGTTACAAATTTAGTCACCATTCTATTTTTCATGCAAAATCAATAAAACGAAACGTCTACAAAACGAAAATTTTTTTCTAAAAATAAACACTTAAAACATGTAAAAAACGAAAGCGTAAAACCTTTTTAAAAACGAACATCTATAAAGCTTAGGAAAAATATGGCTAAATCACTTCAAAACGAAACCTCAGAACACTTAAAAACGAACGCCACCGTTAAAAACATTTAGAAGACGATCGGATAAAGAGAAAACGTTTAAAGAGCTTAGAAAACGAACACTAAAAACGCTGAAAAAAGAAAGCTTAAATTCTCAAAAGACTTAGAAAACATATACTTAAAAGGCATAGAAAACAAACACACAACGCTTTGAAATGAACGCTTAAAAACGAACACTTAAAACGTTTAGAAAATAAATGGTTAAAAGCAAAACATAGGATTCAACTGCGGAAATCGCTTAAACATTGTAAAACGAACGCTTAAAAAGCTTACAAATGAACTCTTAAAGCGCTTCCAAAGCGAAAGCTTTAAAACATGCGCTCAAAACTTTAAGAAAAGCGAACGCTTAAAACGCTTTAAAAAAGACTTAAACATGAATACTTAAAAAAGTCCGCTTAAAACGTTTGGAAAACAAACGCTTAAAAATTAATTCATAGCTGAGAGAAAAGAGGTGGATTCATACTTTTATCAAAGGTATTTGCGAGTAAAGGACTATAAACACCTCCTGTGGAATTGGAACTCAGCTCTCCGATTTCAAATTCCGAGCCGTTATCCAATACGGTCTTATCACGTTGAAACATCAATTCTCGCACGATCACCGAAGTTAAGCAACGTTGAACCTAGTCAGTACCTTGTTGAGTGATCGCTTGAGAATACCAGATGCTGTAAGCGTGAATGTGTGGGTGGTCTAATAGCTCGAAATTGTTAATCGAAGAGCCGAGATCCAATTCCAGTTGTGTTCGTTATATTATAGAAGACCGGGGAACCATAATTTTGGGAGTCGGTTCCACAGAGGAGTGGTTCGCGGGAAGAAGCTGTTTGGGTGGAACAAGGAAGGAATTGGATTGTTTCCTACAATGTAAATTTAAATGGCATGGCCGGTCTTAGGCGTGAAGGTTTAAACTGATGGTATCAAGGAAGAAGGAAATTACTGGAAAGACGAATTTAGTTCGTCCGAGCAATTTCCATGCAAGTAGCGATAGAGCAGCAAGAGGCTTGCTATATATATATATATATATATATATATATATTCCATCAAACGTGAAAACGCTGGAATTAAAAATCAGAGGACAGCAGAATATATTATTATCCGGCTTCTTGCTTCCCAGTCAAATTTGATCTTCAAAAATTTAACTGCAAAGTCAAACGTTAACTTCCCTCTTCTTAATTCTTGTTCTTTTATTGCTCTCTTTCCTTAATTGTATTTTTTCCCTCATAGACTCGGATATTCAGTAACCCCTTAGTTTTAGTGGCTGTATTGCCTTACTTGGGATGAAATGTTTATTTATAATCCAGAGACGGATATGCAACGTTACAGGTCCTGATCTGGCATCCCGTCTGAAGTCGCTATCTCACAGACGTGCTGTGGCTTCCCTCTGTCTTTTCTACAAGGCAACTGCTACTTTTACTGGTTCCCAAACTGCATGAATTTAAGTGTGCTACTAGGTTGGCATCTCGGTCCCACTCTTTCATTGTTGAAACGGTTAAAGATTCCAACACCTTCGTATCTCGCACCTCTCGTCAGTGGAACTCCCTGATAGCTATAATCTCCAAATATTCAAATGTAATGTCAATCGGCATCTTCTGATGCCTTGGCCTTGATCCCTGTCCTTCTCTTTATCCTTTTCCCAAACACTCCTCTTTACTCTTACTCTCACTTTCTGTAACTCCTGGCGTGTTAGTGGCACTGCCGCCTTGCTTGAAGCGATTTGCTTAATATATATATATATATATATATATATATATATATAATGGAGGTCATTATTTAATTTTTAGGACCCTTTCAGCCAACGATTTTTCAAAAGGTAATCAATGGCGAAGCAAGAAACAATCAAAGATGCATTTACGAAGGAGGAGGGAGAATTGGAATACGATTAAAATAGATTTTAATTATAAATAAATATATAATTAAAATCTATTTTAATAGCGTTCCAATTTTTTCTCATCATTCGTTATTTATTAATGCGTATTCCATTGTTTCCAGCTTCGCCAACGATCACCTTTTGAAAAAACGTTGGCCGAAAGGGTCCTAAAGGTTAAACAATGACGTCCATTTTATTTAAATCTATTTTCTATTTCTGTGGGTACAAGTCTTTGTTCATATATATATATATATATATATATATATATATATATATATATATAGTACAGTAAGGTTCACTCAGTACAAGGTTCGGGGGGGCCACTCCAGGTAGAGGGCTATGTTAGTAGGAGGGAGTTTGTACAGATAGAAAGAGGCAACCGTTAACCTGACATGACATGAACAGTTTAAGATTGTAGTGATCAGGGAAACATCTACTTGGGAGTCGGTTCCAAAGAACAGTGGTTCGCGGAAAGAAGATGTTCTAGTGGAACTTACTTCTCATCGATGGAATACGAAGGGTATGTGGATGGTTTTCTACAAGGTAAGGGGCATGGCGGTTCCTAGCCGTGAAGGTTAAAATTGGCGGAACTAAGGAATGTAGTTCGTCCGAGCACTTTGTGTGAAAGCAGCAATAGAGCAGTGAGAGACCCGCCATATTCCGCGTCAGAGAGAGAGAGAGAGAGAGAGAGAGAGAGAGAGAGAGAGAGAGAGAGTGTGTGTGTGTGTGTGTGTGTGTGTGTGTAAAATAATTCGTCACCCACAATGACTAGGAGACGCTTTTAAACTCTATCAAGACTGGAATGTGAAGTCTGGGAAGCTCCCGCATAACTATGGCAACAGTATTTCATTTTCGGCCCTGAAGTAAAAAAAAAGAAAAAAGGTTTCTGTTATATCTCGTACAAGATATAATAAACAAAGTAAACCCGAGTGTTGGTTTTCAATAATAGGTTTATAATCGGATGTAGGTGTGTCAAGTACAGAGACAGAGTCGGAAGTATGCTAACCTCAATAGGTGTTAACAAACGAAGACTTGACGACTGTCCGCTGTGGTCGTACTTAATCGGCAAGCAGTCCGTCCATTATCGTGAATGGGGAAGTTGGGTTATCTCATCACAACAGTTTCGAAACGCTGACTTAAAGGGTCAAACCAATTGAAAGCGACCGTAGTCTGGATCATAGGGTCGTTGTGAACCCGAACCGACTGCGAAGGATCAAAAGTGCGAATAAATGTGGTGAATCTAATAAGATCAAGGAGTCGGAAATATCTTCAATAAATAAATAAAAATAAACGCCCCCCACCGTCTATCGATATTAGATAAATTTGAGTGTAAAAACAATGCCAATATCAAAAAGTACCCGTAATTCATATGCGAAGTGAAAATGATACTCACTGTGTGCTCCATCTACAACATCGACACTGTGAAACAGATGGACAGGTTCCCCTCAAGGAAATACCAGGCAATCCCTCACGATTGGTATCACGATCATGAGTTGAGTCAACACTGGGATCAAGTATCCGCCGTCTCGTTTCAGTTCTGGGTAGAGAAGGCCGCCTGCTATCAACCTGTCGATGCCCTTGAGCTGGAAGATAAATGCTATGAATAGTTTTGCAGCATTTATGGAAAATGTGACACCGAAATCCGAAGTAGCATTGGAATAGCGATGGTTGCGTTTCAAAAGCGAATCAAAGTACTTTGAAACAGGAAAATTTCGCTAGAAACAAAACAAGACAAATAAATAATAATGAAGTTACCTATATCGATATACAACTGATGAAGGCCGGAGAACACAACGACCGAAACGTCGTGATAACAACAACAAAAATGAGGACAATAGTCCGTATGTAAATTTATTTATTACGAAAGTTCATCCAATACAAGGGCCGCTCAAGGTGGTACCTGTGTGGACTTATATTAGCGTAGGAAAGAACAAACGTTTGGAGTATTTAGCTCCATTTAGCAGAAATCAGAAACCCAATCCTAAACAGGAAACAAGGGATAAACTTCTACTACTGTTCAAAAAGCCGGGAGAGGAGTGTGAACCGGACGATAGGTAATAGATAATTATAATTCCTTTTTCCAGAAGTTCAGATAGAAAAAAAGACTTTTGAACTGCTACGTAATATCAATCTTCCTGTACGACAGTAAATACTGGACAATCTTCTCACAGAGGAAGAGAAAGCTGGATTGCAAGAGAATTGTGGGTCTACAAGAGGATACTGAGAATATCATGGTAAAAGGCTTAAGGAAAATTAAAACAAAACGGACACTTAGAATCAGAAAGAGACAGCTGAAATTTCTGGGACAAAGAATGAGGAAAGAAGGCTAAGAAAATTTGACACTGACAGGATATATCGAATGGCAAAAGAGATAGTGGGGAAGCGAGCCACTTACTTGACCAGCTTGTGTAAATGGATAGCAGAACGTGGAGTGGTAAAAAGATAGCCAAAAGACATACGTTACTAAGAATAGGAGCTACGAGGAAATGGGAAGTTGTTGAGAGCCATGATCAAGATATTGAAGAAATGAGGAAAATATGATTTTACAAGCATGCAAATCATAATAATTTTTTTTTAACGTTTATTTATTTACCTTTCTTCTATTTCCTTTTTTTTCTTATAATCAAACAGGACGTTCAAATAACTTAAAGGTTATCGACACGGCAAGTGGAAATGGCATGCGGCGTTCAAATTCTAACCGAGTGTGTGTCGCTCAAATTCCATTGGTGTTTGGAAGTGAAATAAAATCTTTGTGATACCGGTCCTGTTAATTTTCAGAAAGACTTTGTAATGTATGTATTTGCGTTGGTATAAAACAAAAAAGTTTTATATTTATCTATCTTTTCTTTTTGAAATTTACTCTGTGGTCCTTCGGGGCATCAAAATCTGCAATTTGGGATTATTCCTTACTTGCTTAATAATAACACGTCAGGTTTTCTGAACTCGAGTTATTATTAATATCCTATTATAATTGTGCATATCCATCCTTTCGTTAGTTCGCACGACCATTACGCTCTGTCAGTACCTCATAAATAATGAACTATTTTGCGTGGAAAGAGGGGAAACAGCTCTACTTGATTTCAGTGAGAAAATGAAAGAAGGGAAGATAGAAGTGGAAAGAGAGAGAGAGAGAGAGAGAGAGAGAGAGAGAGAGAGAGAGAGACTCAGATGATAAGAACAGATACTACACTTTGATCTTGACCAAAAGGCCGAGAAAATAATAGCGACCGCGATAAAAGCGGCATTTTTCAGACGGAAACCGAGTAAAAATTTCAGTTACCATTATAAAATGACATCATCCGCTGAATTACTTTTAAATTAATTATTAAGAGAAATTTTCGGAAACCGGGGATTTGGCTAGAAATAAATGAAGATTGAAGGAAAGAAAAGAAAGATAGAAGGGTTTAACATCTTATGCCAATACCTCAGAGATAATGCGTAGAAAAAACAAAAGATATACGTTACTTGGTTGCAGTGAGAAAATGAATGAATGAAAGAAAGAAAGAAAGAAAGAAAGAAAGAAAGAAGGGACGATAAAAGTTTGAAACAGTGTTTCAGAGAAATGGAAAAAGTTGTCAATTTCATTATCATTTGTACCCCCTTACTTCTTAAAATAACGACCAGCATTCATATTCATAATTGTTATTGCAATATTTTGTTAAAGTCGTTAAGCTCAAATATTTAACGATGTGATAGAGGGATTTCTACGGATATTTTATTGTTTTAGAAATCGCCATCTGCTTATTCATTCAATAACTTAAGAATTAAGATTCCCCTGAATTTTTGAAATATGTGAAACTATTAAATT